ACCCTGGAAGTAACCTGCACTACCTGTGCCAGAGCAAAAGCACTAACCATCTATCTGCAATTTAAGCTCTGTCCACTAAACTGTGTCCCCGACAGACGCAGGTAAAATGGGTAAGCAAAAAGATCTGAGTGACTGTGACAATGGTGAAATAGTGATGGTTAGACTGGATCAGAGCATCTCCAATACAGCAAGTCTTATGGGGTGTTCTTGGTATGCACTTAGCTACCATAAATAGTGCAAGGAAAGACAACTGTTGAAATGGTGTCATGGGCGCCCAAGGTTCATTGATGCAGATGAGGAGTGAAGGTTAGCCCGTCTGACCCGATCACACAGAAGAGATACCGTAGCTAAAATAGCTGAAAAGGGCAATCCTATCTATGGTAGAAAGGTGTCAGAACAAACAGAAGATCACAGTTTGCCGTGTATGGAGCTATGTAGACGCAGACCGCGTAGAGCCCTCCGTTCACTGCTGAAGAGCCTTCAATTGTAGACATGACAGTCAAAACTGGACCATGGAGCAATGAAAGAAGGTTGCCTGGACTGATGAATCACATTTTCTTTTAGATCAAGTGGATAGCTGGTTGCGTGTGCATCATTTACTACTAACAGATGGCAGCAGGATACACTATGGGAAGATGGCAAGCCAGTAAAGGCAATGTTATGCTCTGTGAAATGTTCTGCATGTTCTGCTGATTAACCTTTGGTCCTGGCATTCACGTGGATGTTAAGTTTTTACACATTGTTGCTGACCACGTACAACCCTTCAGAGCAATTGCCTTCCTCTATGGCAGTGGCCTGTTGCAGCGAATAATGCACCCTGCCACACTGCAAAAATTGCTCAGGCATGATTTGAGGATCATGACAAAGAGCACAAAGTGTTGCCCTGGCCTTCAAACTCCCCAGATTTCAATCCGATTGAGCATCTGTGGGATGTGCTGGAACAACAAATGTGATCCATGGAGGCCCTACCTCACAACTTGCAGGAATTGAAGGATCTGTTACTTATGTATCACAGGACATGATCAGAGGCATTGTGGAGTCCATGCTTCGAAACATCAGAGCTGTTTTGGCAGCATAAGGGGGGCCTACACAATAATAGGCAGGTGGTTTTAATGTGGCTGATCAGAGTATTGCAAGATTACAGTCTGCTGCCCATTTTACTATGTGCACCTTGTGCAACCAAATACAGATTTATTTATATTTTAATGTGAAATGATCATTTGGAGACTTTACTACAGAATATGCTAAACATATTATTAAAAACAAATGCACATATTTGTTTATATTAAAAAGGAGTATATTGCTTAATTAGTTTTTGTAAAATGAAACCAATTGATTGTTTTAGCTTTTTATATTGTATCAAACCTTGTTAAAACCATGATCATTCCTTGCTGAGACACATAGGTCACTGCTACAAAACAGATGTCATTCATTGTTTAGAACTGAATTGCTACATTCTATTAACACAGCAAATCAAATACTTTGAAATTCCCACATTAGTAGGTAGCAATTAATGAAAAATCCCCTGAAGAAAAACTGTGCAGTTGTAGAACAGCAAGAACACTTAGGAAGTGTAATTAAACCAATTAAGCAATCAGAGTATTTATGCAGCACGGTTGTAAGTGATCCAGAAGGAAAATGCAACCTGCTGTTGCTGCTGATACTTTAACTTGACTACTAAGCAGACGAAAATCAAGCTTTCATATAATTTGTAATTACTGTAAGTGCTTTAGGTGATGTTTAATAAAGGGATAACATTTTTTTTTAATGTACATTTTATTTTGGGTTCAGTAACATCCTACATGTTACTTTAACATGTGTCCAAAACAACTTGCTTGAATATCTTCTTTCACCATATGAATGCTACAGAAATAAAGCTCTATGGCATACAGTATCTCACAAAAGTGAGTACACCCCTCACATTTTTTGTAAATATTTTATTATATCTTTTCATTTGACAACACTGCAGAATTAACACTCTGCTACAATGTAAAGTAGTAAGTGAACAGCCTCTACAACAATGTAAATTTGCTGTCCCCTCAAAAAACTCAACAAACAGCCATTAATGTCTAAACTGTTGACAACAAAAGTGAGTACACCCCTAAGTGGAAATGTCCAAATTGGGAGAAAAGTGTCAATATTTTGTGTGGCCATCATTATTTTCCAGCACTGCCTTAACCCTCATGGGCATGGAGTTCACCAGAGCTTCACAGGTTGCCACTGGAGTCCTCTTCCACTCCTCCATGACAACATCATAGAGCTGGTGGATGTTAGAGACCTTGCGCTCCCCCACCTTCCATTTGAGGATGCCCCACAGATGCTCAATAGGGTTTATGTCTGTAGACATGCTTGGCCAGTCCATCACCTTTACCCTCAGATTCTTTATCAAGGCAGTGGTCAACTTAGAGGTGTGTTTTGGGTCGTTATCATGTTGGAATACTGCTCTGCGGTCCAGTCTCTGAAGGGAGGGGATCATGCTTTGTTTCAGTATGTCACAGTACATGTTGGCATTTATGGTTCCCTCAATGAACTGTAGCTCCCCAGTGCCAGCAGCACTCATGCAGGACCAGACCATGACACTCCCACCATCATGCTTGACTGTAGGCAAGACACACTTGTCTTTGTACTGATAGAAACATAGAATGCAGATAAGAACCATTCGGCCCATCTAGTCTGCCCAATTTTCTAAATACTTTCATTAGTCCCTGGCCTTATCTTATAATTAGGATAGCCTTATGCCTATCCCACGCATGCTTAAACTCCTTTACTGTGTTAACCTCTACCACATCAGCTGGAAGGCTATTCCATGCATCCACTACCCTCTCAGTAAAGTAATACTTCCTGATATTATTTTTAAACCTTTGTCCCTCTAATTTAAGACTGTGTCCTCTTGTTGTGGTAGTTTTTATTCTTTTAAATATAGTCTCCTCCTTTACTGTGTTGATTCCCTTTATGTATTTAAATGTTTCTATCATATCCCCCCTGTCTCGTCTTTCCTCCAAGCTATACATATTAAGATCCTTTAACTTTTTGCTGGTAAGTTTTATCCCGCAATCCATGAACCAGTTTAGTAGCCCTTCTCTGAACTCTCTCTAAGGTATCAATATCCTTCTGAAGCTACGGTCTCCAATACTGCGTACAATACTCCAAGTGAGGTCTCACCAGTGCTCTGTACAATGGCATGAGTACTTCCCTCTTTCTACTGCTAATACCTCTCCCTATACAACCAAGCATTCTGCTAACATTTCCTGCTGCTTTATTACCTTGTCTGCCTACCTTTAAGTCATCAGAAATAATCACCCCTAAATCCCTTTCCTCAGATGTTGAGGTTAGGACTCTATCAAATATTCTGTACTCTGCCCTTGGGTTTTTATGTCCAAGATTATCTTGCACTTATCCGCACTAAATGTCAGTTGCCACAATTCTGACCATTTTTCTAGTTTACCTAAATCACTTGCCATTTGGCTTATCCCTCCTGGAACATCAACCTGTTACACATCTTAGTATCATCAGCAAAAAGACATACCTTACCATCAAGATCTTCTGCAATATCACTAATAAAAATATTAAAGAGAATGGATCCAAGTACAGATCCCTGAGGTACCCCACTGGTGACAAGTCCAAGCTTCGAATATATTCTATTGACTACAACCCTCTGTTGCCTGTCACTCAGCCACTGCCTTACCCATTCAACAATATTGGAATCCAAACTTAAAGATTGCAGTTTATTGATAAGCCTTCTATGTGCAACAGTGTCAAAAGCCTTACTGAAATCTAGGTAAGCAATGTCTACTGCACCACCCTGATCTATAATTTTAGTTACCCAATCAAAAATCAATAAGATTAGTTTGGCATGATCTCCCTGAAGTAAACCCATGTTGTCTCTGATCTTGAAATCCATGTGTTTTTAGATGTTCAACAATCCTATCCTTTAACATGGTTTCCATCACTTTCCCCACTACTGAAGTAAGGCTTACTGGCCTATAGTTGCCCAACAACTCCCTATTACCTTTCTTGTGAATGGGCACAATATTCGCTAACTTCCAATCTTCTGGGACTGCTCCTGTTAACAATGCTTGGTTAAATGAATCTGTTAATGGTTTTGCTAGTACACCACTAAGCTCTTTTAATAGCTTTGGGTGTATTCCATCAGGTCCCATTGACTTATTTGTCTTTCTTTTGACAGTTGAAATAAAACATCTTCCTCACCTGGTTGCCTCCACACACGCTTGACACCATCTCAACCAAATAACTTTATCTTGGTCTCATTGGACCACAGGATTTGGTTTCAGTAATCCATGTCCTTAGTCTGCTTTTCTTCAGCAAACTGTTTGTGCATCATCTTTAGAAGATGCTTCCTTCTGGGACAACAACTATGCAGACCAATTTGATGCAGTGTGCGGCGTATGGTCTGAGCACTGACAGCCTGACCCCCACCCCACCCCTTCAACCTCTGCAGCAATACTCATATGTCTTTTTCACAAAGAAAGTCTCTGGATATGATGCTGAGCACATGTGTAATTGAGCGACCTGTACCCCGGTTGGGTACCTCCGCCGATGGATGCTCCTAGTGCTCACCCAGGACTCTAAGCACTCCACCAGACACCATCAGCAGTGCAGTCCCCACGTCCAGCGTTACAGCTTGTCTGGGAACTCGCCGTCTCCTACCCACCCTGGCTCCTGGTTCCAGTGGGTGAACCTCATTCCTCTAGAGAGTTAAGCAAGAACAGCTCTTAAAAGATCTTAGGGATTATAATCCCTGGGGAGTATAGTGATTTGGCAATCCCCAGGGTAGATGCAGCCTTTCCCCCACACATGAGACAGAGGCTCTATGTTGAGGGTAAACAGGAATTCCAAGTTTAATAAGGCACACTGGCCTTTAATACAGTTTTCCCCACAAGGTTACCACCCAGGTGGACCTTGTGGGGCACAGGGACACAGGATCAACAAGCCAATAAAAACAGAGTTTTACATTCAGACACTCCCATACAGTGTACACAATCCCTCCCCTCTGTTTAGGAGATAATTGAGTTAATACTATATCAACTCAATTATCTCCAAACTAAAAAATACAAGTTTTTACACATTTCTGAAAACACCCCAAAAACCCTTTGTTTTTGGGGTGTTTTCAGAAATGTGTAAAAACTTGTATTTTTTAGTTTGGAGATAACTGAATATAAAACATACATTTCCTGATAGCCCCGATCTGGGTGAACAACATACTTAATCACCCAGATCGGTTCAGGGGTTCAAAAGTTAGCTGGAGGCCACATTTCTGCCCGGCCGCCCACGAGGCTACTGCCCAGAATAGTTCCATAAGTTCAGCTGGGTAGGCCAGTCTATTTCAGGGGTAGGGAGACATTAAAATAACGAAAAGGACCATTCATGTATCTGATTCTCCAGTGTCTCTTGTTCGTGTGCTTTAATATACCAAACGCCACTGTGTTCATATGAAAAAGACTACCACCCAGCCATTTGTCAATTAAGCTGCAGTTAACTACAGCTTCAGGGAGGTTAATAGGCTGCACACGCAACATGCGTGTGGTCCGGCTGTCCGTCAGTTTGTTCGGTAAATGAATACCATAAGCCTAATCCGTTCCACAAGCCCCATAGCAGGGAACATAGTCACAGGGCAGGAAGCTGGCAAACAGGCCCCTCCAAAAAACAGTGGCAAGGTAATTTTCAGCACAACATGCACTCAACTTCTTTGGTCAACCATGGTGAGGCCTGTTCTGAGTGGAACCTGTCCTGTGAAACCGCAATATGGTCTTACCCACCGTGCTGCAGCTCAGCTTCAGGGTCTTGGCAATCTTCTTATAGACTAGGCCATCTTTATGTAGAGCAACAATTCTTTTTTTCAGATCCTCATTGCGTTATTTGCCATGAGGTGCCATGTTGAACTTCCAGTGACCAGTATGAGAGAGTGTGAGAGCGATAACACCAAATTTAACACAGCTGCTCCCCATTCACACTGGAGACCTTGTAACACTAATGAGTCACATGACACCATGGAGTAAAAATGGCTAATTGGGCCCAATTTGGACATTTCCACTTAGGGGTGTACTCATTTTTGGTAGACATTAATGGCTGTTTGTTGAGTTATTGAGTTATTTTGAGGGGACAGCAAATTTACACTGTTATACAGGCTGTACACTTACTACTTTACATTGTAGCAGAGTGTCATTTCTTCAGTGTTGTCACATGAAAAGATATAATAAAATATTTAAAAAATGTGAGGAGTATACTGTATATGTATGGTGGCAATGAAGTTAATCTCCCTTGTTGTTTAGAGTTTATATACTTTAAGCTGTTTATATACTTTAAGCTGTTGGGCAGTATTATTCAGATAGCTAAGCAGAAACTGTTACACTTCTGTTGCTGCGGGACAAGAGCTGGCCTTGTATTCAGTGATGGTCATCAGCAGTAAAAGCATGATAAGTTGGGAAAAAGTATAATGCAGCCCCGTGAGCCAAGTTAAAATCACCAGGCTGGGAGTCCTGCTTGAGGAGCTGCTTAGCTTCGGCTGCAGAAGCTTAAAGCACTAACAGCCTCCATTAGCTGAATCTTCTCCGGTGGACAGTTCATGATGTCTGACCGAATTTCCCGGTGGTGGCACGATGTCATCAGTTCTGAAGAGGCACTCACATAGAGCAGAGGGAAGTCGCAATCTACTGGCACAAAGAGGAAAGCTGCAGTCAAAGGCTCCTTAAATTAAAGGGACAATGTCTGGAAAGAAGTGGAGATATAAAAGAATTCTTCCCTTTTCTATCTATCCTTTGTCAGGGTAGCATTGAAAGCCTGGCTGAAGATGTGTTCATGTGAATTGAGGAGAGCTTGGATGATGATAGTGATCATAATCTGGAAGAGATGCCAGTCCTGGAAGAAATTAAGGTGTAAGGCAGAGCTGGTATTTCTGGTGGTGAGAATGAGGAAAACTCTGCTGAGTTACATAGAATTAATGAAGCATTAGCATCTGTGACTGAGATGGTTAACATTTGTAAGCATAAAATGAGTCCAGCTCAGGCTTGGGATAGTGGAAACAGTAGTGCCAAGAAAGATTCATTAGCGAGCATTATAAAAAATCCAAGCTTTTTTTTATTTTTATTATTTTCTCAGCCATATTGGGTGAAAAGAAGTTTTTTCAACATTTAGAGGCAATACATGAAGGCTACAAGAACATTGGAGGTCTAGCGTGTTTAACTATAACAAGCTTTTTAAACAAAAACTTTCCTCCGTTAAATAGTGAATGAAATATGTTGGTCTTTGGCTGAATCCGATACTGCCTCAGTTGCATAGTATTTCTAGCGCAGTATGAGCAATAAAAAAGGGCCTATTTTGAGTTTTTAATGAAAGGCATTGTAAATGACCTAATTCATGTACATTTAAATATGAATGCTCTTACTGTGGTGGAAATCATTCAGCCTTTTGCTGCTATGAAAGACACGCAGCAGGATTCAGTCAGGGAAGGGATCAAGTTCTAAAAAGCGTGGACTCCTTATCTGCAGATATGCCCAAACAGGGAGAGGGCTAAATTATTGTTTCATGGTTTTACTGAAGGTTTTAAAATACAAAAGTTTTCTGGTTCTATATTTGTTAATAATTTTAAATCTGTTTTGCAGGATGTACAGGCTGTCAGTCAGAAGCTGCAAAAGGAGTTAATTTTGGGTAGAGAAGCTAGTCCTTTTGACAATCCTCCTTTGATAATTTCTGTCTCTCTCCTGTTTTATTCCCCCCAAAAATCCTGGGCCCAAGAAAACCTCTGGGTCAGTCATGCTAATTCATCATTGATCTTACCCTACTGGTGCTCTATTAAATGATGAATTTGATAAGGACAGTTTCTAAAACTCTTATGACGATGCAGCTGGTTGGGTAAGTCTAGTGTTTGCACTGATGGATAAGATGGGCATTGAGTCAGCTTTTAGACTCCTACCAGTGAATCCTGAAGGTTTCAGTTCACTTTATGTTTCATTTTTATTTTGACAAATGTCTCCCCTTTCAGTTGCTCTATTACATGTTTTTATTTTGAGCCATTTTCTTCATTTGTTGAATGGGATGATTAATGTTCAAATCGGTTTATATTCTATTGAACATTATATAGATGTTTTTTTTGTTTGTTTATTGGTTTTAGTTCAGGTTTAGATTGTGCAAGTTTATTAGAGTTTTTCTGTAGTTTCGCAAGTTGGTTTGGTGTTACTTTAACTGGAGAAAATGCTTCAGTAGCAGTGTAGTATGAAAGCTGCATTGTGTTATGTGATTAAATGTATTAATAATGGTCTATCAAAGAATGTTTAGCAGAAGTAGCATATTTGCAAGTATAGTAGTGATAAACACGATTATAAGTAAAGTAATGTTAAAGGTTATTTTACAGGTGTCAAAGTCACTGATGCGAGGCATCCCATCACTTACTCGGTGTTAGAAGATTTGATAATTTTATTATTGACATTTAAATAGCGCTTTACATTATTATGAGAGGGGACTTAACTATAAATAGGACAGTTACAAGAAAACTTACAGGAATGATAAGTTGTAAGAGGACCCTGTCCAAACGAGCTTACAGTCTATAGTTGTTATGCTCAATCTGAAGTATTTTTGTTTTCAGCAGCATTTTCTTTGGCTTTCTTTGCTGCATTTAGAATTACTGCATTAGTTTCATTTAGTAGATTTAGATTTTAGGGTTGCAGTTTAAAAATGTTTTTATAATGGGTTCTCAGGTAGATATTTGGTTGCAGTTTTCAAAAACTGGACTTGTTTATTAAGGGTTTGTCCAGTGGAAACTTTCAAGCTTGTTTAGCTGTTCACCCTGCTGTGCCTGATCTATTGTTTGCTCATAATTCAGTGTCTCCATTAACACATTTACAATTTCAGGGGGTCTTACAATCATGCTTTGTAAAATTTGATTACAAAGGAAACTTTACTTCTCGGTTTTTTTTTAGGATTGGGGCAGCAACTGAAGCAGCTAAGTTGGGTTTTGGAGGAGATGCAATCATGAGAATTGGGAGATGGAAATCAGACTGCTTTGAATTATACGTGCATAATGATATGATGTAATATTTGTCTTCCCTTTGTCATTCTAGTTATTATTATTCACATACCATAACAAATGTTTGGGTTATAGGTCATTAATTTATCACGCAGACCATGCAGAGAGCAATCATGATGATTCAGCAATATCTTGGTAAAGTGTGGGTGGTCGCGAAAATCTTTAAATTAATGAACTTTATCATGTATTGTTTATCAGTTTGAATTTTTTTTCATTGTTCATGCCAGTGGTAATAATGTAGTTTTAAAGTCAGTACAATTAATGTGTTGCTTAAAAGCAGTTTTTATAGTCCTTAGAAAATTATTTACTGCAACTGTTTTAGTTTGGTCGGAGGTGGTCCCGTGCTAATGATGATTAGCGTTGTGAGAAAGAGTGAGCAAGAAGTTGAACTTCGTGATATCTAAATTCTTGCTGCTGGGCGGAACTTCGTACAGGCATTTAGAGTTAGATGAAAAAGATATGGGACTGTTAGTAAAGCTCAGGATCATTTATCAAATATTGAATTTGATATATTTAATTTGGATTTACAAAATATGATTGGGCATTGGCTGTGGAGGGGTAAAAGTTTTTTTTTATAAGGCAGAAGCAAGTCTACCTTATGTGAACAATCAGGAATCGGATGCAGTACATACGACATTAAAAGAAAAATCAGCTTTCTTTCCAAAATGGCACCTGTCAAAGGAAATGGTAGCTTTCCAAGAAATGGTTTAGACATGAGGTTGACTACTTAAAACCCCTGAATAAATATCAACTTAATCTCAATGGCCAGGAGCATATGGCACTTAAGGATTTAAAAGGAGATATGAATATAGTAGTTAAACCAGCTGATAAGGGTGGTGGGGGGGGGGGGCGTAATTATGAACTGAGACTTTGAATTGCAACACTTACAACAATCAAGTAACACACATTCATATAAAATGTAAGTTACTTAGCCTGTCAATGTACTGACAGGAATGAATAAGTAAATAACTTCCTAATTCCCACGGTATTAGGGAGTTATCTACTAAAAGGCTGAAAGATCTAAATTGGTCTTTCAGCCAAATTTACTAATACTAAGTAAAGGTTACTTAGTATTAGTAAATTATGCCCCTACTTGCTATACTGCGAGTAGGGGCATGTCTATT